CTGCCCGACACGATTTCATTCAAAACCCTCCCAGAAAGTGGAACCTGTCATTAACTAGTTACTCTTCCAAAAATTAACTGAAACACACTCACACTCACCACGCACACACCCAAATCTGGGGGCCATTCTGTCGGGCTCTGAGAAACTATCAGTCGGGTGGAAAGCACAGAGCCCCTGGTCCCAGTTTCTGGTGACAGCGTTCCCGCCGCGCTCCGCTTGGGACAACTCACAAGATCCCGGCCGGCAGCTCGCGCTCCCCGCCCCTTCGCGGAGGGAAAGGCTCCGGCTGCGCCGAGCCCCCGGTCTGCGCGGGGAGGAGGCGCACAGGGCCCGCTCTCCCCAGAGTCCCGGAGCGCGCGGGCGACACTTCCATGCCCGGCCGGAGCGGCAGGGCGCTGCCTGGCGGCCAGCCGGCGACCACCCAGGCGCCGAGGCACCAGAGCCACAGGCGCGAGGTCCTCTCCGCGGGGCGGAGCGGCTTCGGCCGCCACCCGGACTGCGCGCCGTGCGCTGCCCCGGCTCCGCAGGTCCGAGGCCCGCGCACAAGTTGGGCTCGCCGGGCAGAAGTTGGTGTGCGGAGCTCGCGGGGCCGGCGAGGTGCGTCTCCCTGAGGAGGGCGCGGCAGCAGCTCGGTGGCACCAGGCAGCACAGGCTACGGGGAGCGAGGGAGGAGCGGCTGGGCGAGCCCCCGAGGCGCAGCGGCCGCCGAGCTGCGCGCCCCTGCTCCGTCGGGAGCTACTGGAACCTGAGCGCGCACCGCGGCCCCGCGGCCCCCGCAGCCCCGGTGCCATGGAAACGCGCTCGCCGCCCTCCCGCCTCGGCCCCTCCGGAGCGCTTAAAGAGACAGCCGCGCCGCCACCGCGAGCTCCACGAACCTCCGAGCGTCCCCACCCCTCGCACTCCCCTCACCCCTCCTCTCCGCCGGGTGCCGCAAGGAGGAGGCGCGCGGAGGACCAGATACTGGGGGCTGGACGGGCAGCAGAGACGCAAAATACGGGGTTTCGCTCAATACTCCCGCTTAACTCTGCTCCCCACCTTTTCCTTCCCACCCACCAGTCGCACACACCCAAACCCCGCCGCAGAGGTGAAGTGGCTCCGTCTTTCCTCCTCGTACACCAACCTGCTCAGACCCCAACCAGCTGTGCATCGGCCACAAGCAGAGACCAGATGAAGGCCGACTTTTGATTCTCTCCCCTCCGCTCGATCCCACTTCGAGCCTCTGGAGTTAGTCAGAACATAGGCTAGGGGAAGGTGTGTTTGAGGTGGGAACCAAATGGCAGCTGACTGAGTCAATCAAGTCTGCCAAATCGGTAGGCTCATCCAAAAATCCTCGTTACTCAAAATGAGAAAATCTCCCTTCATTTTATTTGGCCACCATCTCACCCCTCTCAGGCACCAGTTAGGAGGAGGAG